TTCACCTTACCGTACGGACTTCCACGTCACCACAATACCGTTTTGCTTGTCTTAGGCGCCTGGTCTGGCCACTCCCCATGGTCGTGTGTTAGGCGCCCATCGAGCAGGCAACCCCTCATCCTTAATTCCTTAGGCGCCCCGGTTGATGCGCCTTCTCGGTCACGACCGGATGGACTTCCAGCTTTGTTTGAGTGATTCTCCATCTGCCCTTGGACCTCTTTGAACGGGCCCACCTTCTCTTTTGGGCTCTCTTTGCATGTCATACGCATCAGGCTTCCTAACGTGCTGCAAGTTCTTTTCCTTCGAAATATCCCCAACAGTTATATAAAAATAAATATGAAAATGTATAAGTTTAATATCCTCCTTACGCAATTCAAAACAAAAAAAAAAAACAAATATTTGATGATATAAGTCATATTTCAAAAGAAACGTAGTGTTTGAATTCTGAAGCAAATTTGTTCCAATCCACCACAATGCTAAATTAACTAACACTCAACTAGAGATTAGGGATTGTGAGACCAGAGGATTGAATATATCATATATGATGTTAAGGTAGTAATGAATATAGATTATGGTTTCTAGGGAAAATGAGTTGCAACATATTCGGTAAAATTCGTTTTGTTAGTTTGAGGTCTAATGTTGATATATTGAATACTACTATCCGAAACTAACTAAATAGTGTCGTCAAATTTAAGGAGTGTGTTGCCAACTGCGCGTGTCTAATGGAAAAAATCCCAAGTTACACATATTTTTAAAAAAAATTCTCAAAATACACATGTTATGAAAATAATTCCCAATCTACACATGTTTGGGCCTTCACCGTGTCAGAGAAGGGCGGTGATTGCTTCACCGCGTGAGAGCAAAACGGTGATTGCTTCACCGCGTGAGAGCAAAACGGTGACTGCTTCACCGTGGGAGAGCAAAACGGTGATTGCTTCACCGCGTGAGAGAAAAACGGTGAAGCACTGAACTGCGTCAAAACTTTAAAACAACGTAACTTTGTGCTCGGTTATCCGATCGTAGCGATTTTTTTTTTTGATTCCGCATAATTTTTCGAGATCTTGCAAACATTGCGGCTTGCAAGATCTCGAAAAATTATGCGGAATCAAAAAAAATTCGCTACGATCGGATAACCGAGCACAAAGTTACGTTGTTTTAAAGTTTTGACGCAGTTCAGTGCTTCACCGTTTTTCTCTCACGCGGTGAAGCAATCACCGTTTTAGTTTGAAACGGTGAATACATCACCGTTTTAGTCAAAAACGGTGAAGTATTCACCGTTTTGGTCAAAAGCGGTGATGACCTTCACCGCTTTTGTCTAAAACGGTGATGCTCAAACATGTGTACTTTTGGAATTTTTTTTATAACTTATGTATTTTGGGAATTTTTTTTAAGAACTAGTGTACTTTAGGATTTTTTCCCGTGTCTAATTGTGTATGTGCATTTCTTGAAACAATTATTAACATATCTTGACATCGAATTCGTGGACCTCAGTAGTGGCACAACACAAATCTAAGTAAGAGGGTCGAAGAAAAGAAGCTTAAGGGATCCAAACACGGGTTACCTTGTGAAGGAGTCAAGAATCTTACCAATTGTCTCACTTTTCATATTTTTTACAAGGTTTAAATATACATTTAACTACCGTTTGACCCTGCTACTTTGTGAGTAATTTTGTCACTGAATCTAAAATTAAAAATATCATAAAATTTGATAGACCATCGTAACCAAACAATTTCTTCATATATTCATTACGCATCAATAATGTAAATGAGAACAATTAAGCCACACCCATATCATAGGAAACTCAGAGCATGCCATCCCTAGCCACCTTATTCCTCTCCTTCAATGGAGTATGACATTGTGAATGTTAGTTGAACCAATAAAAACTTAAAAAGACCAAAGGAAACAAAATAGGACCTACCATGTGAGATAAATTGAATAAGGAGACTGTGGTGGTGAGTCTTATGATTTTCTGCATCTTCTTTCTTTGACAACACTAGGGTATATAAGTGGTTATGTAGCTTTAAATTGAATGGATGGTTCATGGTTGGGAATTTTTAGAGCACCTTTGGCAACACATGCATCCCTAATTGCCTTGCCTTTTACTACACCATGGACTTTTTGAGATGGTGGAGTACAAGCAAAATCCAGTTATCTACTCTTCTTTCTTTTATGTTCACTCACTGCCCATTATACAAGAAGTAACTCAATAATGTGCATTGGGTTGAATCACGTAAACCTTATATCTTTTTTGTAAATTCACATAATTTGAAGACGAATGTGGGAAGGTAAAAGAGTGCGTTTGTTGAGATTTTAACTAATATAAGGATATTATATAGTCCACTTTCATTGATTAACTTTATAAAATGAATTGTCTTGAAAAATACTAATAATGCTTTGGGTTTTTCAAGGTCATCTCACTTTTGGTTTACCTACTCTACTTGTAAATAGTTCCTAAGGTTTCCTATTACGAGAGGAAAAAGGCTAACAAAAAATAATCATTTTTTTATTGAAAAATTATCATTGACTCCAATGTATCATCTAAATTTCTATACTGCTGGTCATGAAATTATAATTACATTGCTAATATAATACAATTGAATTACAACATATTCGCCTAATATATCGTTGTTATTCGACTATATAATTTAGGTACATGTGTTTGGATTGATACATGATAGGAATAATTATTGTAGGAGGGTTGCATCTAACTTTGAAAAATGATCTGAGTCAGTATTTTCAAAATGCATACCAAGGCAACCACTTCAATTTTTTGTTTATAAATCTTGTATGAAAGAACCGTTGAAATCGACCACATATTCAGAATCTCCCTGCTAACGAGTGGAATGTTGACTGTGGACCTCCCTCTTGATTATTCTCCATAAATTACCGAAACAACCTCTATTATTTTGTTTTCTTTCCCTGTGAAAATGACAAAATCCTCTGTTCTTCAATTGTGGTCCTTTTCTGATAATGCAATATATTTATTGAATAACTATTATGCCCAAGTTATATTTGGGTAGGCTCTTTCATATTCTTGCTTTATAAATTTTTACTTAGGATAACTTATTTCAGTTCAGAATCATATTGAATTAGGATTTGAAAAATAAATAAAAATGAGGCTATAAAGTGAACCAAAACACTCGTGTTTTAGATAACTCATGGATAAAAAGCAAATTGAAAATACTTAATATGCTTCGATTCATTTTAATTCGGTATAATTCAATCAAGTGTGAACCAAATCGTTCCCAGGGATGTTCATTTTTACTTAAAATTTTAACTTCATCGCATCCAAAATTTACTCAAATTTAATCCTTCCTTCACATTTAAGGTGATTCGTGGTTGAAGAAGACGAGAATTAACACGTATCTTCTTCTAAAACTCAGTAATTGAAAATCAACTCGCGTCTTGGTCTATTGTTTAATGTCTCAGCTTAAAATTTAACGTGATTGGCCTTACTTTATTTTTCTCGTCTAGCCGCTTGTGGAGTTGTTGATTTATAAATTTCATATATAGGGCATGACATCCGAATTAAACGACTTATTTGTTCATCAACAATTGTGGTAGAGAGAAACAAAATTATTCTTGATGTGGATTTTGGGATTATAACATCCAGCTCTCCTTACTTGATACTCGCTAAGCCTTATCATATTTTTAACGTCTTGACATTGAAAATGTCTCGCTTAATTTCTCTTTCGAGATCATATGCACTTCATATTTTGTTTGTGTCTCCTTCGCAAGTATAACGACCAAACAAATCTCTTGTGATAAAATGAATTAGGGTTCTTGAGATTTCTTGTTTATCCGTCAATATTTTATTATTTTCATAATGAAAGATGATGAAGTGATATAGGGGTTGGGGATTTGGGATAGAATGGTAATTAAGGAAAGAAGGACTCAATTATGGGCAGAAGAAAAGAACAGATTTTCGTTAAAAGAGATATTGAAATCAAAATAAGGAAAAGGGATTTTGTCTGAACTATCAAACGGAATGCTAAAGACATCAAAAAAGCAAAATTCGAAAAAAAGGAAAAGAAAAACACAAAAGAAACCAAGCGTAAGCAAGCAAACACACAACAAACGAACACTGGCAGAGCCAATTTAGCCAAAACCTCAAACGCTCTTGCTCTTGCCCCTCCACTGTACTTCACAAAGCTCACACACGGTCCCTTCTAGAGAGAGAGAGAGAGAGAGAGAGAGAGGGGAGAGAGCAAAGCAAAGCAAAGCAAAAGAACAACCAGAAGGGAAGAAAACCCCATCACTCCGATACAGTTCCAAGCTGCTTGAGGGTTCTCTGAATTCTTTTAGGGGGTTGGTTCTCTTCCCATTTCTCTCACCAACAAACAATCCGCAAAAACCCACTAGGAAAGGTGAAGTCTTTCCTTTCCCTTCCCACCGGATTGAAAAAACCACGAAATGCAGGTTCCCTTTTGAAAGAACGACTCAACGAAGGATCTCCCAAGATCTCTCTCATTCTCCTCCGAAGTAAAGCTTTGACCCACATTTCCTTTCAAAATTCCGGATTTGTTTGGTGAAGTCATTTCCTTTTTCTGCCCTTTTGCATCCGAAGTTTGTGCCTTTTGATTTCTGCTAGTAGTGGGTGCTTTCCCACCCTTCTGTTTGCTCGGTTTCGGTATTTGAATTTGGTCCTTACGGTCGCTTAAGCAAGAGCGCATTTGCTTTCTAGTTATTTGCATTCTGGGGTTTCGGTTTGATGACCAGTCAGATCTGGGCTATGATTGGTTGCTCTGTATCGACTTCTCTCTTTTCATTTGGTAAAGTTGTAGGCTTTAGATCCGTCCGTTTAGGATTTTGCTGAGCATTCCCGCACTTCGCACTCGCGGTATTGTTCTAGTTGCAATATGGATGTCTAGATTACTGGTAGCTCTGAAACCTGATCATGAATGATTTGGACTATCTGCAGACTCCTTGTGCAGGAGTGAATATGTGTATGGTGGGACTAAGAACTGAACCGGTGGCTTAAGCTTATTTGAAAGAAGGAAATGGGGCCTGATACATCTCTTGATTATGCTGTGTTTCAACTGTCGCCGAGGCACTCACGGTGAGTATAATCTGTGTGGGGTTTTCTTCTTCTAATGCCTTTTCGTGGGTTCTCATGCATTATTGTCCTTTTAATATTGTTTTGGCAGATGTGAGCTGTTTGTATCGAGGAATGGGACGACAGAGAAGCTTGCTTCAGGACTTGTTAAGCCATTTGTGACTCATTTGAAGGTTGCAGAAGAGCAGGTTGCACATGCAGTTAATTCGATTAAACTTGAAGCTGGAAATCACAGAAATGCTGAGACTTGGTTCACCAAAGGAACACTGGAGAGGTTTTCCTGCAGAACTAATTCTTTTTGTTCTCAATGATGCCATTTGTACTCTGATCGCAATCTATATTTTGATGTTATTTGCACTTCTATCCTTTTCAGGTTTGTGCGGTTTGTCAGCACACCTGAGGTTTTGGAGATGGTGAACACATTTGATGCTGAGATGTCGCAATTGGAAGGAGCTCGAAAAATATATTCTCAGGTAATAACCACAATCTGGTCTTGCACATTGTGTTTGGTATAGGCAAATGTTGCATTTTCACTGATTTAGTGCTTCCTCATTCAGGGGGGTGGAGGCCAAGTGTCTAGTTCAGGTTTGTATTCTTCTCCTGTTCTTGGCAACTTAGTTCCCTGAAGATCATATTTCCTTTGTCTGAAAGAAACAAAGATGCCATAATTTTTTCAGTATTTTTTATTTCTTGACTTATGTTAATGCTTATCCCCAATAATAAAAACTTGGCGGTAGTTTGGTTTGTCTGATTGTTAAATTTGTGTATTGTGATCAATACATGTATAACATTATACATGTATTGTTGAATTTGGTTTATTGTAGATTACAACATCTGGTACTTGTGATTGTGTTTTCAATATTTAGAAGGGAAAGTCACTTTTAACAGAAATGCCACTTGTACCCCTTTTTGTCAATGAAAAGATAATTTTAAAGGTCAAAGTTGGAACGAAAAGGGACAACAATCTCAACTAAACAATCCAAAAGCTGAGATTGTACAATCATTCATTTTGAATGATTGTTTCTGTTATATCAATCAAACAATACATGTATTGTCTATACATAAAAATCAGAAAAACGATGAATTATAAAGAATGCTTGTAACAATCTCACTCAGACAACCACAAAAACCAAACAACCCCTAAATCATCTTATGCTTTTCATTTTGAAAGTAATGGTTGGATTGCAGTAGGTTGTGGACATCTAGAACTTGCCATTTTCAGTTAAACAGAAGTATGTGGAAATGTTGCTACATCAGTAAAGAGTCGGGTTTAGGTGTAACATGGTCTGATATGGCGTACAGATTTTTTGTAGCAAGGTATGTTTATTCTTTCCATGATAAGAAACAAGTAGAGGGTTGCTTAAAGCGCTCTCCCTTATGGCTATTATGATGAGAGTATCTAATGTAATTTCAAATGGTTCTGTCTTAAGCTTATTTCATAAATGTACAATACTATGAACAATTGGGATCAGGATCTCCTATTGTGGGAGAAAGGATTTCTCTATGTGTAGTGTCTGGGTTATATCCTATTCGTTGATAAGGATAAGGTGTGCCTGGTCGCAACTCATGCGAGATGAATTTATTAGGTACCGGAAAGAAAAGAACCCACTAGAGATGGAAGGTATTTGGTGGTTGGAACTACTTGGAAGTGTTTGCTGGTCAACATTCGTGGCACTTCTTGAAGAAGCATGTTTTAGATATACCATTGTGTTTTCTGAAAACTTGAATCATTATCGTACTTCAGTGGTTCTGTGGAAATGAGCAATGTCTTGAAGAAGCTTGCTTGAAAATGAGCAATGTCTTGGGAACTGTTGATAATAAGCCAGCCCTTGAGTGGTTCTGTGGAGTTTTTTACTAGGAAAAACAATAGAGCGCAAGGTAGTCTAGCCATATGGAACTTAATGACAAGAGCAAATTAGCCTCTCTGTCAGTCATACAATGGTGCTCTTGGTGGCTGATAATTCATCAAATCTAAAGCTTGGTGTGGAAAGTCCATGGTATTGATAGAGATTTAAGAAAAAGTAAGATTAAGGGTCTTTGTCGTCACACTAATTGGTAGTTTTGCATCTATAGGCCTTCAATGATATTTTCATGTTCGCATCAATCACATCTATTATGTAGCTGAGATTCAAAAACTCTGTCCGATTTGCTCTCTTTCAATGTTTGCATCTTTAACTTTGTGACACTAGACATCTTGATCTTAATTTACACTGATATTTCTCTTGCACTATATTTTTTCGGCGATGTGCTTGTTTACCCTAACTGGTTGATTGATAAACTGTCCAGGTGAGGGTGGTACAGGTTCCGTGGAAGGAGCTGATGCAACAAAGTAAGTTTCCATGTCCCTGTTTTCTGTTTTCCATTCCGACATTTGTGGTTTTCAGCTGTGCTTGATTTATGTTTCTAAAGCACAGAAATAGTTGTAACATGAGTGTCTACCTTATTTCTTCATGCAGTCTCTTCTGAAAAATAAACTATTTTTGTGATTGTATTAGTTGAATGGGGTTTCTGTGTTTGTACAATCAGTGATGTTAATATTTCAGCTGAATTTGTTTTCTATTGTCACCCTTTCCCCAGTGGTTTCCTAATGGCCATCTATGCAGGAAAGAGCTTTTGAGGGCAATAGATGTTCGGCTGAGCGCGGTTAGGCAGGATTTAGTTACAGCCTGTTCTCGTGCTTCAGCTGCTGGCTTCAACCCTGAGACTATATTGGAACTCCAGCTCTTTGCAGATTGCTTTGGGGCCTATCGTCTTAAGTAAGTACTTTGGTCACTCTTTGGAATTGTACCAAAATTATCTTTTCTCCCTTTTCTTTGTGCCTAGTTGTTCAGATTTGCTTCCTTTTTCTAGTTTAAAGCCAAAAGAATAGCCTTCTGATCCACTTGCAACTGCTTAACATTATCTTGTTGGCACTTGATTAGTTTATTTAGATTTCTTCAAATGGTTCCAATGGGAAAATGCCAAATCTAATACCACATAAGTTGATCTTGATCTCTTATTGTCCAATGCCTGGATATTGATTTGTGATAGGTTTATTGTTAGTTACTAGGCTGTTTTCTTTGGTTCAAGGGTCCATTTTCCCTGTACTTCCCACCACTTTTCCCTTTACATTTATTTTCTTAAACCTTACTTAAATAGAATAGAAAGAGGTCTGTCCTTTTTGTGCTGTATTACATCGCTTTTCTTTCTTTTCTTTTCCAGACATCACTAAACTTTTTGCTGTGTGCTGTTTGCAGCGAAGCTTGTACACAATATATCTCACTGTGCCAGAGACGAGTGGATTTGATCAATCAGTTGAAGCCACGTGTCGAGGATCAAGCTGTCCGGTCATCATGGGGATCAGACATGTCCATTGATGATTCCAATGATGATCCAAGTGGGTCCCATCAACCCTCTTTCCAAGGCAAACACCTTGCAGGACAAGAGCAAAGAAGCCTGGACACAACTATCCGATCTCAAGCTAGACAACAGACGTCTTCTTCCTCCCTTCCTGTACAGCATCAGAAAGAGAAGGAAGAAGAGAAGAAGGAAGGAGCCATTCCTGAGTCATCACCTGGACTACCAAGCCAACCTTCCAGGCGACTAAGCGTTCAAGACCGGATTAGCCTGTTTGAGAACAAGCAGAAGGAAAACTCTGGTGGCAAGTCAATATCTGTTGGGAAATCTGCTGAGTTAAGGAGATTATCCTCTGATGTGTCCTCTGCACCTGCGGCTGAAAAGGCTGTGCTGAAGAGATGGAGTGGAGCTAGTGATATGAGCATAGATACAGGCAATGACAGAAAAGATGGTAACAACACGGATAGCCCATTGTGCATACCCTCTTCATCATCTGCTGCATCCCTAGCCAAAGCTACCGTCTTTCCTTTCTCCTCCGAGGATAATAGCAAGGACCTGAAAGATTTACACGATCCTATTTCTGCTTCTGAATTGAAAGATCAGGGTGAGTTGCAGACAATTAGTGTTGGAGGGAAGGGCCATGAGTTGGAGTTGAAGGATAATAAAGTTAACTGGAATCATCAAGGGGGGCCTCAGTCTGGGGCGGAGAATAACAGTTTTCGGGAGGAGAGATCAGGGGCCACATTCGGTAGGGCAGACAGATTTGGTGGAGATAAAGATCATGTGGTGATTGAAGGCAAGCCAAATCATTCGCGGCTTAGGGTGCCAGATAGTGAATTTGGGAAGAGAGTTGAAGACACCGAGGCAAAAGATCATCTCCCAAATCATTCACGGCCTAAGAGTCATGGTAGATCTCTTTCAGGGCAGTTTGAAGGTGGCTTAGGTGGGAGATCGAAGAACTTGTTGCTACATAAAGAGGTTGCAGGTGATCAGTCTGCATCTCAGCCTCAGTGGAGATCCTTTAACAGCAAAGCCGAGCGAGCAGGGAAGACGGATTTTTCATATTCTGGGAGGGACTCAACAAAGGGGGAAAACCTTGAAGCACCAGCAACAGTGAAGATGCAAAAACCAGTTATTAGTGGGGCAGAACAGATGAAGAAACTGGGGGATGGGAATGATGAGAGTTCTGTTCCTTTCGGAAGCAGCAAACCAATTAATTTTGGTAAAAGGACCCCGGACTCTCAGGAAAGTAACCTTTCTGCACAAGCATCATCTATTGAGCAATTTCAAAGGGTACGACAATCTAAAGGAAATCAGGAGCTGAATGATGAGCTGAAAATGAAGGCAAATGAACTTGAAAAGCTTTTCGCAGAACATAAGCTTCGTGTTCCTGGGGATCAATCGAACCCCAACAGGAGAAACAAGCCTGTAGAGATACAGATTGAACAACAGATGGCGACTTCGATTCAGAAAAGACCAGCAGCAGCAGCAGTGGAGAGTTCTCCTATACATTTTCAGATCAAGAAAGTGGAGCTTGAAGCAGCTGGAAATAGTGATACACTAGAGTTCAACACTCCACCTACAAAAATGTTAGATCAGCCAGACTATAGCAGCTCATTGAGAAGGAATTTCTCTGACCTCAGTTTTTCTGATGATTCTAGAGGAAAGTTCTATGAATCGTACATGAAGAAGAGAGATGCAAAACTGAGAGAAGAGTGGGGTACCAAAAGGGCAGAGAAGGAAGCTAAGTTGAAGGCCATGCATGATAGCCTTGATCGAAGTAGGGCCGAGATGAAATCTAAATTTTCAGCATCCGCTGATAGGCAGGATTCACGTGCTCGTCGACGTACTGAGAAGCTGAGATCATTCTCTGCTCATTCAAGCGCTAAGAAACAACAGGTATATTAGAATCTGTTTATTCAATTGTGGGGGATGAGCAGTGCTGAAGCTGAGAACTTTTAACAAGTTTCGACCTTTTTCCCCTATTGTTGCCCTGCTTTTCTTATTAGTCCTCTCTTGTATCACCAACACCTGTACCCTTCTCATTGAATGAGCTTCACTTTTTGACAGCTCCCTACCGACTTAATCCAAAGTGATGAGGATGAAGATCTCCCTGCCTATTCAGAACAGCTTTATGGGCAAGACAAATCATTTAATGAGGCAGCAGGTCAGAACAAAAAGTTCACACCAAACCGGAATGTGTCTTCATCGACCCGGATAGCTGCAGCAGCACCTGTTCCACGGTCAGCAGTGAAAAGTTCCAACCCGAGCTCTGGAAAGCGAAGAACACCATCTGAAAATCATCTTGCCCAGTCAGTTCCAAACTTCTCAGAATTCAGGAAGGAGAACACAAAGCCATTTCTTGGAGCTGGCAAGACTACAAACCGCTCTCAGGTGAGAAACTCTCGCAGCAAGAGCAATGGAGAAGATGTACCACTAACAAAAGAAGATAATAAGTCACGACGTTCTCAGGCTTTGAGGAAAAGTACTGCCGGTCCTCCTGAGTTGAAGGATTTGTCTCCTCTCACCACTGATGCCACTATTTTGGCCCCATTGAAATCTGATAAAGATCAGATTGAGTCAAAGACTTTCTTGAAGAAGGGGAATGGGATAGGTCCAGGTGCTGGACCAGGTATTGCAAAACTCCAAGCATCATCAGCTATCTCCGAGACTTTGAGAAGTGAAGATGAGTTTGAAGATTCTGCTTTTGAAATGGAGGATGATCCTGACGTTGCTAGGGATGTAGCAGAAGAGGAGCTTGAGACAACTGAGGTGGAAGAATGTGTGAATGTTGATAATAATGGTAAGTCAAGACTGAGTCATGAATCTGAGAAGATGGTTATGTCAGAATCAGACAACAGTGATCCTCAAAGATCTCAGGTCGATATTTCCTCAGTTGCTGAATTGCCTGCATCCGTGCCTTCGGCATTCGGTGCTGTAGAAGATTCACCTGCAGAAAGCCCTGTTTCATGGAACATGCACCCATTTTCTTATCAACATGAGACCTCAGATGTTGATGCTTTTGTGGATTCTCCAATGGGGAGCCCCACATCATGGAACTCTCACTCCCTGTCTCAAGCAGAAGCAGATGCTGCTGCACGAATGAGAAAGAAGTGGGGGAGTGCTCAGAAACCTGTTCTTGTTAGTTCATCTAATAACCACTCCCGAAAAGATGTAACGAAAGGTTTCAAAAGGTTGATAAAGTTCGGAAGGAAAAGCCGTGGGGAGACTTTGGCTGACTGGATTTCTGCAACTACTTCTGAAGGAGATGATGATACAGAAGATGGGAGAGATCCTGCTAGTCGGTCGTCGGAAGACTTGAGGAAGTCGAGGATGGGATTTTCACACAGCCATCCTTCTGATGACGGCTTTAATGAAGGAGAATTATTCAATGAGCAAGGTAACTTGTAGACTGGAGCTGCCGGTATATATGTTCTAATTTCTCTTTCTATGTGCTTGAAAGTTGGGCTGCATATGTGATGAATAAATTTTCCTATCCCCACCAAAAAAAAAAAAAAAAAAGAAGAGAACTGATTTTTATATCTGGAGAAACCCTCATGTTACTACTGTACCCTTAGAGTTCTGTCGAGAAGTGGATGGAGGTGACTTACATCAGGAATATAACCGTAGAATACTGAATCTCTCATGCCTTGGTTCTTGCTTCCTGAAGTTTGTACATGAGCCTACATAGTGATGGGGTGTTTATTTTGATATGGCTATCTATATACATGCTCTCTTTGGTTTCTCTCTACTTCCCCCTTGTTCTTTCTAATGTTATTTAGTGCCAACGCGTGGAACATGAGGTGATACTTCTCTTTATTTTATTTTCCAGTTCAAGCCTTGCATACCTCCATTCCAGCACCTCCTGCCAACTTCAAATTGAGGGATGATCATGCTTCTGGAAGCGCAATTAAAGGTGACATCTTTTTTCTGCAGTACTTCTTTGCTTGTGATTGATCCTTTTGTCAAGAAGGGAACTTTGATCCAATCCCATGTTGGGTTTATTCTATAGACTTTGCCCTGACCATTAGGATTCCACATAGAGATTAACACGGTTATGACTTCCATATGATATTGATCTGAGCTTATGTTATGTGTGATGCTAAGTAGTAGTGTTAGCTAAACTCAAGACTGAGTTTATCAGTCCTTATGAAAACCCTACTAACCCGCAAACTCACAATTGTTGCAGCTCCACGATCATTCTTTTCTCTTTCAAACTTCCGTAGCAAGGGAGGGGACTCAAAGACACGTTAATAAGACAGCCATTGGTTGGAGGGTCGGTCCAGCCCAGGAGAACCTTCATGCAGCAAATATGATGTAAAGAATGAATGGTTATGGTACAAGAAGAGAACACAGAGGATGGATGATACAGAGGGAAAGGGAAGAAATGCCAATTTTTGGTGGTGAAATGTGTTGTATATTGTAATTTGAACTGGAGAGATCCCCGCCTATTTGGCCAAGTCTTGTGATTTTTGACAGTCTTCTAGGAGCATTCTTTTCCAGCTTTCCTACGTTTTTCTACTACTACCATGATTTCATTACCAGTTCTTTGTCCAGCGTTTGTGTGATCAAGATAAGATGTATATGAGTTTGTCAACTCTGTGTTTAGATAATAACTATATATGGACTTTGATGGTGGCCTTGGAGCAGCAATTAACACAAGTTTTCAGAGGAAAAGCTTCAGTAATTATCCGAAATGCTATGTCTCCTAGCTTTATCGATGCATTGCTATGATGCAACTTTCATCTAAATGGACTCGTAAGATTCTACTTCATATATGGCCTAGGTAATCAAAATCTGTATCCAATCTCCAGTGGCATGCTAGTTTCATCATTCTCAGATTTTCCCTAGGAATAGAAAGAGGGTTATTGTGCTCTAGAAGCAGGCCAACCACAAAGGAACGATAGGAAGTTTGGACTGAGATTAAAAAGAGTGGTGGAAATGGGGATAAAACATTGATAAGACCTCACCGTCATTTCCCAATGGCGAGAAAGGACAAAAGAAACAAAGAAAGTGGCAATGACAATGGCAACGGCCAGCAGCAAGGCAATTCACTACCATCCAAATAATCAAATAATCCCTTCCTCAGTAAACGGTTAGTTGGTTATCGGTTTTAATTTATAATCATATCAAGTTTGGTCACTCTCCGTTATCTTCCGTCAGTCTTCGTTAACACCGTCAATTATTTGCTGACGTGGCTAACAGACTCACCTAGTCACCTATTTTTGACAAAAATAAAATAAAATTCAATCCTGCCACGTCATAAAAGCTTGCCACATCATAAAAACCTGGCCAATGTGACCCAACTCAAATGAACCAAGGTTAGTGGTTAAGTAATAACCATTAATTTCTTAGTGATTCTATTTCAGTTAATTGGATTTTACTTACTGGCTAACTGATAAAAAAACCGATGACCACTTAGTATAAGGGTTAATTGCATGGTTGGTCACTGAGATTACAAAAATCGTTCATGTTTGGTCATTAGAAATATTTAAATCCAATCTTGGTCACTCAAATTAGTTAAAAGGTTCAAGTTTGGTCACTCTCCGTTACCTTCCGTCAGTCTCCGTTAACACCGTCAATTATTTGCTGACGTGGCTAACAGACTCACCTAGTCACCTATTTTTGACAAAAATAAAATAAAATCCAATCCTGCCACGTCATAAAAGCTTGCCACATCATAAAAACCTGGCCAATGTGACCCAACTAGGGTTGCAAATGAGCCGAGCTGCTCGCGAGCGGCTCGGCGTTCGACTCGAGAAAAGCTCGTTTGAAACTCGACTCGTTAATAAATGAGCCGAACATGAGCTCACCTTTGTTCAACTCGTGAAGCTCGCGAGCTAGCTCGACTCGGTTGCTTGTTGAGCTAAACTCGTGAGCTTGCTCGTTTAGAGCTCATGATGTCTTAACATGTGGCTAGAGAGCCAACTCGATTACCAACTTATGGAAGAATCAATCTATATCTTATGATTTTAATTCATATGGTTGTTAAATTATATATCTCACCATATATAAAGTTTAACACGTTGAGTATGTGAGCAAATACATCTTATTTTCTACTTTAAAAAAGAAATTATGCATCATAGATTGCTTCGATACTGTGAAATAACATGATTTCGAGTAGTTAAATTTATTAACTAAATGATATATGATACCAACAAAGTATAATATGAGATTAGCTAACAAAATAAATTATATGTATCATGATATACAAAATGAAGTACCGAATAAAAGTTAAGATTTTAATAAGCAAGCTAGCTAGAACTCGGCTCGGCTCGTTAATAAACGAGCTGAGCTCGAACTCGACTCGTTTATTAATGAGCCGAACTCAAACTGGGATAAAACTCGACTCGGCTCATTTGCAGCCCTAGACCCAACCCATTAACCCATGATCTGACCTACCCCAAATTAAAACCCAAAATTTACCAATCCTCAAAATCCCTTGCCCGGAGAAGACGACCAGAAGAAGCTATTGCCGCCGATCTGTCCAATCCGCCGGTTTCCCCTCTTCTCCTTCCTTCGACAAAAACATCAACGCCACGAGCACCACCAACTCCCTCTTCCCTTCTTCTCCAATCTCTAGCTCTCTTGGTGAAATATAGTCGGCCAATATTCCAATCTTCCCCACCAGTTTCTTCAACCCCTCCTATTGACCATCCCCAATTCCTCCATCGTCCCTTCCAATCTCCCTCGTCGATTTTACACTCCCTTCAACTTCCACCATCTTCCTCTCTCCGACTTCCAGTCGAAGGATCTGAATCGTCTCGGCGACATTCCTCTCACGCTCTGCTTCTCTACTTCCTCGCCCTCCATTCCATCCATGCTCGGCCTCTCCCTCGGCTCGAGAAGCAGATCCAGTAAACAGAGGCCTTCAACTCCCTCATCGCTGCCTCCTTAGCTCTTCCAGTAGATGACAAGTTAGGGAGAAGCAGATCTAGTAAGATAAAATAGAGGAAGAAGAACCCAAAAGAAGGCTCGTGTTCCTCAAGCGACTGGTAATCCCTAGCTCGCTCCATCATCTGACTTCTACACCGATGGCATGCGTTGGAGGTTGGGGATAGCTAAGGATGCAGCAGCCGAGGGATTGGTGGGCAGGGGGCGAATCTGTGGTGTAGGAGGGGAACAACGACTAGGTCGGGAGTGGTGGTGCAATCAAGGGATTGGGGAAGGGGGCGAATCTCTCGAGCCGAGGGAGACACCGAGCATGGATGGAATGGAGGGCGAGGAAGTAGAGAAGCAGAGCGTGAGAGGAATGTCGCCTAGACGATTCAGATCCTTCGGCTGGAAGTCAGAGAGAGGAAGATGGTGGAAGTTGAAGGGAGTGGAAAATCGACGAGGGAGATTGGAAGGGACGATGGAGGAATTGGGGATGGTCAATAGGAGGGGTTGAAGAGACTGGTGGGGAAGATCGGAATATTGGCCGACTATTTTTCACCAAGAGAGCTAGAGATTGGAGAAGAAGGGAAGAGGGAGTTGGTAGTGCTCGTGGCGTTGATGTTTTTGTCGAAGGAAGGAGAAGAGGGGAAACCGGCGGATTGGACAGGTCGGCGACAATAGCTTCTTCTGGTCGTCTTCTCCGGGCAAGGGATTTTGAGGATTGGTCAATTTTGGGTTTTAGTTTGGGGTAGGTCAGATCATGGGTTAATGGGTTGGGTCACATTGGTCAGGTTTTTATGATGTGGGAAGCTTTTATGACATGGCAGGATTGGATTTTATTTTTGTCAAAAATAGGTGACTAGGTGAGTTTGTTAGCCACGTCAGCAAATAATTGACGGTGTTAACGGAGACTAACGGAAGGTAACGGAGAGTGACCAAACTTGAACCATTTAACTAATTTGAGTGACCAAAATTGGATTTAAATATTTCTAGTGACCAAATATGAACGCTTTTTGTAATCTCAGTGACCAACCATGCAATTAACCCCTTAGTATAACGTACATAGTTTTGGACTTTAGTTAGGAGAAAAGTGTCAAAGTTCAAAACCAACCAAAGTCGCAATTCCAAACTCTCCAATGCACACCTATTGTAAACAACCCTCCACTGAAAGTCTAAAATATATTTAAGAGTGAGAACTCGAAAATCACTTTTCTCTAATTCCCATTAGTAGTCGACAGAGCGAACCTCACACTCTAATAGTGTTTGTTTCCTTGATGTGTTGTGAATGATATTTTTTATTTTTGAGAAAATGCGTTGTGAACGATGATGATCTTGTGGTGCTTGTGTCTTGGTAGAAGACGTTTGATTATTTGTAATTTATGTGTTGGAATTTGCATTTTGAATTCATGATAGATAATGTATTGCATAATTTGCATTGTTGTTATTTTTTACAACAATGATTTTATGTTAACGACATAGAAGTGTAGTTAAATTATTTTGAATTATTTGTATGATTATATTTTATTATTAAAAAGGACACCATACAAAATTTTAAAAATAACAAGAAAAATGCCACATGTAGAGGTTTTGTTATTGGATAGTGATTAACCGCCAAACTAACATCTAAACGAACATATAACTTGCGATTAACCCGATAAGAATACTTATCGCTTCGGTTTTCAATATGCATTTTTTATTTGATGATTAACCACTAACCACCAAATAATTTAATCATTAACCAAAACCGAACTGACCGTCACCCTTACTTCTCCATCCATTAAGTCATCACCCACAAGCTCTAAAACACAAGCCAAGTTGATTGTGGAAAGAATCTGGAGGCAATGGGCGAAAGAAACCATGTGAAGAAAACGGGAGCCTCTGTTTTTTGCTCTGCATACGCCAAGCGCCAAATGGACAAGAAATGAAGGAATTGTTGCTTATAGATAGTTACATTACACCAGTTAAACTACAGTTAACATTGATTAATTAACGTATATATTAGATGGACTTTGGGTTCGCCGACTCCTCTCTTGTCTTAATCCCCTCGTACCTTCTTCTTTCGTTGTTGAAGGTTCGGTAATTTTGACGTTTTCCAATCCTGTGTAGCATCAGGATTGGGAATGGCAGCATATTTGCAGGCTTGACCTTGCATTGTATCTCTCCCCTGCCCCCGCCAATTAGGAGAAGAAACAAGAAGTACCCGCGCTTTTTCCTTCTTCTGTAGATTCCCATGTTGTTGTTAGCCGTTTCCCATGCAAACAACTGAGCTCCTAGGTCCTAACCCTAGCCTAGTTGGATTCCCCTGGTGCAAACCTTATACCTGAGATAATAACAATGTATTGAACTGTGTAGTTGGATTCCCCTGTAGCAAGGATTGGAAAATCCTACCGTGGAAGAGATTCGATCGGAAAAACTTTCTCCCGTGGGCTAAATCGGTTGGCGGTATCCAGTGGTATGGAAATGGTTGCACTAAGCACAAAATACACTATCGCTGGCTTTTTCGGTACAACCTCCAATACGGTTTTACAATCCTTACTGCTGGATAGTACAATATCGATTTGGGTTAAAATTAGGGGTGTGCAATGATCAGCCGGACCAACCGAAGTTTGGACTGGACTGTACTGGACCGAGTAGAATGCTGTCCGGTCCTTGGTCCACATAGATTTTACAATTAGTGAAGAAATGATGAACCAAACTGATATTTGGGCCGGGCCGAATTGAACCAAATGGACCGAATGCAATGATGATCCGGTCTTTGGTCCTAAGCTGTCTTTCACTAATGAACCGCGATTCTCATGAGTTTGATCCGGTCCGGACCAGACTGAACAGTTGCACACCCCTAGTTAAAATACACGGTTCAACTAGTACAATAAATACTTATAATTCCATCTCGAAAATACGGTACTGATGATCAAATTTGATTCTTATGTTTAAGATAAAGGAAGAAAATTTGATTAGCTCTAATTTGATGATCATGGTACTCGTAGTTTGTCATAACTTTTGTTTTTTTTTATAGAGTTGCAGAAGTTGCGCTAGTTTAAAATCTGTAATCATATCTTTGTCAAAGACTTTGTAGGTATGTCATCGTCAATGCTCACACATATATTTATGTCGAGAAGCAAATACATCAAAATAATTAATGAATGATTGGGGGGATAAGTTGAAAATTACTCAACGATGCTTGCTGCTACATTAAACAAGCAAATCGAAGCCTATATAACCTATGAATATATGCTTAATTCCAACGGGCAACGAGTGTGTGCCAAATTAAAGATTGTACCGGAATAGTTAGTGGTAAAGTATTTTGTGGTGAAATTGTGGTTTAAATATGAATTTAACTGTTTCACACAGCATAAAACCACCTACTTATTCTTTTTTATCCCGATTTTTACACAACTAGTCACTGTATTTTTTCCAACAATTATATTGACACTTGATTGTATTATGTGACTCGACTAGAGGGTAAGGAGGACATACTGAAAAGTTACTAAATTCGAACTCGTTGGCTATAACAATTTATTGCTAATAATGCTACAACATCAAACATATCGGTCGGTTTGTCATCCTTGGCATGTCACATGGATAAGGATAAGTTCATGGTAATACGAAAAGATAGAACAAGTCAACTTTGTTATGTTTAAGGACCTGATGAAAACTTGTTCATATTTGCTTGGCAACATTATTAACAATCCACACATATATATGCACGTTGAATGTATAAGTTGACAGCCGGCCGGCCTTTGTCCCCCTTCATTCATCTCCCATTGGCCATTTGGTTCCATATGTCTCATTTGCATCTCCACCATTACCGAATCAGCATTGCTGATATATAATTACCTCTAAATTTCTTTGGATTTTCATCCACATATAGAGAGACGGCCAAAAATCAATGTTCTAAATGCCCAAAATAACTGTGCACGAAAATATACAAATAGACAAATAGATACTTGCATGGTGTAATGCCATGAGTCTCGTTGAAAGATGTATATCAAGCAAGCGAACATTTGCAAGAAAAGCACTCCCAATAGTATGAGCAGAGCAATATCTTAATATATATAAACGTGAAGTGAGGTTACTGTTGTCAAAATAACTACATTTTGACACCCCAAATTTAATTAAATTACAATTTAGTCACTATAACGTATATTTTACATTTTGATACTCCAAATTTAATTTTAAAGTAAAATTATTAAACAATTATGTTTTAGTATCTAAACTTTATGAGATTTTCATACCTACAATTTTTAAAATTTACATATTGGTCCAATGTTTACATTTCACTTGAATCCATAAATCCAATCCACCAATTCATGAATCCAATCCACCGTAACATAAAATTATAAATTTAGTTTGTACCATACAAGATGTTGTATCACTCAACTGTAGGAGAAGATTCGACCATTTTGGTCTTTGATGAGATTTTTACTTCAAATAAACATGTATGATATCCATTTGAAATAATAATTATCATTTTTAAAAGAACATTCTATTCGGTGATGTGAAAACATATTTAGTAAAATATAATACGAGTACATTAAGATATTGATCTGTACGAAGTTTTTGTATGACATTTTAATAGAACAATGTTTTAAAAAATCAATAGTAATAAAAATCATAAGTTAAAAGTTAATATAAGTATAAAAATGACCCAAACTTTCCATCATCTACTCCTCTTTATTTCATTTTTCACTCGCCTTCCATAACCCTTTCTTTATTTCTTTCTTTACCTTCTTCGTCTAACCCTAATTAGTAATTGAACCATGAACCATTAACTTTTTCAGCTCAATGTCGAGTCCGATTAAAAATAAAGATATATGACTATTACTTATTAGAAAGTCATCATTGTCCACTATGGGATTTGAAGGCGTGAAATTTTAAGTGAGTTCCTGTTTGTGTTCATTTTGCTTCTCTATAGAGTTTTTCTTTTTCACCTGGGCTAAATTTTCAACAATTATATGTTTGGCTAGGTACCTACACATATCAAATAAATAGTTTTCATTTTCTAAAAAAAAAGTAAATAATTATCATCTTAAATACATTAATATAAAAAGAATTAAGCCTCAACTATGCAAATTATCGTTCGGTACCTAAACTTAATAGATCTTAGATTTATAGCCTAAATTTATTTTTTTTAGCATACAAGTCCTCAAAAATTAAAATATTGATAGAACAATACATTTTAGTACGTAATGTTTTTTTACTACATTTTGGTACCTAAAATTTTAAAGTTCTACAAATAATTCTAATTTTTGTATGTGTAATTAAAACACCTTGGAATAAATGGGTATCCATACCCAACTCATACACATTTAGATTATGGAAGTAAATATCCATACTCTACCCAAACTCATATATAAGTCACCCATACCCTACCCACAATCAAAGGGTCTACTTGGATTTAGATAAATATAGTTTACTAGCCCAAAATTTCAAAATATTTGAAATTGGATGTTGACTGTCATATATTTTTTCTCATTCAATATCATATTGTCAAGTCAATATTATTAACAAAACTGCTAACAAAAAATTAATTTTAGACTAATAATACTAACAAAATACCATAACGGGTCACATAATACATGTCGATAGGCCATCTCCTCCCCGCGACAAGGCGCGGCATCGCCACCTAATTTACTGTTGAAAGACAAAAGCAATAGAACGAGATCATGCAAATGTAACAAAATAGCGTATCAACCGGTAATAAAACAACACCTATGGCATGATTTTTTTCTTTCTATCCTTTGAAAGGCGAAAGCAATAAAATGAGCCTTCCAAAGACCAACAAACAAAATAGCACCCTAAATTGACCCTGTATTAGGTCCATTATTCAAATGAGACACAACCAATACTCTGATGCAACCAATGTTCTAATAGGAACAAAGCATTTGGCTGATATTTAGGTATCACTTAGCTATACTTATTCACCATGGGGACTAGATTGTACATATTAGAAAAGTTCGGCACCCAAAATATTATTTATAACGTCCCAATCATTAGTGTCTCCACCAAAGCTCGGCACCCCCAAATCCACTCTTTATTAATACTTTGTAGTTAGCTTAGTAGTAATTGCTAATTACTTCTTCTAATCTAATCTCCAATTCCAATGGCTTTGTTTCTTATATATCCTCCCACTTCTATATCAATCTCCTGATCATAAGAACTTAAACCCCACCACCCCGCCATTACCCGCTAATTAACCATCCATGGCGGATTCCTCCCCGTACCACCGCTCTCCAAACAACAATGGCCGGCCACGGCCGGCCCGCCGCCGCCGCGGCGGTGACATTCCCCCACCCTCTCCGTTGTCCCGTTCCTTCGGACTCTTCAGCTCCACCGACATGTCCATCGTCGCCCCCAGCGGCAGCTTCACCCCAACCCGCCGCCGCCGCCACCCTCCGCCGAACACAGCCTTCGCCGCCGACGGCGACGTGTCATGGCAGGGCGAGGTGTCGTGGCAGTACCAGCCCACGGGCTACATGAACGACAGCCGAAGCTTCGGCGCAATTTTGAGCCCATGGGCCGGTGCTACACCTGCGGCCCACCGGGCCATGCGGAGATCGGCCCAGGACTTTTATCTCTCTCGCACCCGCGGCGGGCCCGGAAACGGGCCGACCTCCTCGTACTACGATCGCTCCGGGATTAGCGCCAGCGGAAGGCTTCCCTTGCAGAGCTACAAAGACGGCGGCGACTACGCCGAAGATAACAACAGTCTCATCGTTAATGTCAGAGATTACGACCTGCCGCCTATCCCGCCGCCGCCTCCGTATGTTCAGGAGGTTTCTCCTCAATCGAGGCAGCTGGAAGCCATCAGGGAGCGGCAGAGTAGGGAAGGCAGCATCGACGTCGATTTCACCGCCGGAAAAAATCGTGGAGATCGGAGAGAATCGAGGTGGAATTCAGTTTCCAACGCTTACGCTGATGTGCCGATTAGCCCCGGGATTCCTGATCGGAGTTATGGAGATTTCGATCGGAGCGGCGGCGGAGGGGGTAAATACGAGGACGACGATTATGATTACGATGACGAGGAAGGAGAAGAAGAGGAGGAAGAAGAAGAAGGAGAAAGGAAGCTGGTTGGATTGATCGGTTTGTTCAAGTACTCGAGCAAATGGGACGTGTGCCTTCTGTTCTTGGGCTGTGTGGGAGCTCTCATCAATGGCGGCGCTCTTCCTTGGTACTCTTTCCTGTTTGGCAACTTCGTCAACAAAATTGCAAAGGACACCAGCGATCAGATGATGGACGATGTTCGCGAGGTATTGCGAAATTCCCCTTTTTCCTCCAATCTCCCGCCAAAATTTCTTACCACAGGTGAATTTTTCCTTTGATTGATTGCTTTGTTCTTGAAAACTCAGATATGCTTTGCAATGACGGTACTTTCAGTAGTGGTGATGTTTGGAGCATACGTAGGTGAGAAGGAGAAATATGAAAGCTTTTTGCCCTTGAGGGTTCCAAAGTTCTTTGCCTTCTATCCGATAAGCTAATTAATGGTTTTGTTGCGGAATTACCCAGAAATCACCTGTTTTAGATTGGTGGGAGACCGGTCAGCTCATCGAATAAGGACCAAGTATCTCCGAGCAGTTCTGAGACAGAACATTGGTTTCTTTGACACTGAAGTTGGCACAGGGGACATAATGCACGGAATTGCAAGTGATGTTGCACAGATCCAAGAAGTGATGGGGGAGAAGGTGATGGATGTCCCTTTCTGCCATATGCTCATTAACCAATGACGCTTTACGTATTAATCCTGAGATGTAATTTCCAGATGGCGAATTTCGTTCAACAACTATTCACCTTCTTCTGTGGCTATGTCGTTGGATTCTTGAGATCATGGAAGGTATCTCTTGTGGTCTTCTCGGTCACCCCACTGATGATGTTCTGTGGCATTGCCTATAAGGCTGTCTATGTTGGCCTTGCTACAAAAGAAGAGGTATATGAACTAATCCATGAAACCTTGCTTATTCTTCAAGCTAATGAGTCTCTTACCTTACTTTTGGATGCTGCAATGGATAGGCTGCATATGTTAAAGCTGGCACTGTGGCTCAGCAAGCCATTAGCGCGATCAGGACTGTGTTCTCTTTTGTTGCTGAGGACAATTTGTCAGCTAAATATTCTGAGTTGTTGGCGAATTCTATTCCCATTGGAGCGAAGATTGGATTTGCGAAGGGGGCAGGAATGGGAGTCATTTACTTGGTTACATATTCCACATGGGCATTGGCTTTTTGGTATGGAGCAATCTTGGTCTCAAGAGGGGAGATCTCTGGAGGTGATGCTATTGCATGTTTCTTTGGAGTCAACCTAGGGGGAAGGTACGAAAAGACAACACTTCTCAATTACTCAAACAGTTGATATAAATAATACAAGTACAACCGAGTTTAGAGATTGAGTCTTCCTTCTCCTATGCAGAGGACTGGCTTTGTCGCTGTCATATTTTGCTCAGTTTGCACAAGGCACGGTAGCAGCAACACGTATATACGAAATTATAGACCGAGTTCCGGAGATCGACCCTTACAGTCCCGAAGGAAGAACATCATTGAGTACACGTGGAAGGATCGAGTTCAAAGGTGTCACCTTTGCTTATCCATCTCGTCCAGATGCTCTAATCCTGCGCTCCATCAATCTGGTTATCCCATCTTCAAAGACACTTGCCCTAGTTGGTGCTAGTGGAGGTGGGAAATCCACTATTTTCGCTCTTATAGAAAGGTTCTATGATCCAGTTTCAGGTTAGCTTTCATTTCAAAGCTAGTTGATGTTCCAGCTATGGAGTTGTGTTATTGGGGAAATCATTACAAGTCTATGATGCAGGAGTGATTAGCTTGGATGGTCATGACTTGAGGACACTGCAGGTCAAGTGGCTTAGAAGTCAAATGGGAATGGTGGGACAAGAGCCAATCCTCTTTGCTACAAGCATTATGGAGAATGTTTTAATGGGGAAGGAGGATGCCACAGAGAGAGAAGCGATCAAAGCCTGTATTGCTGCGAATGCTCACGACTTTGTATCAGCTCTTCCGCAGGGCTACGACACTCAGGTATATGGATGATTCGGAGGTGCTGTTTTCCATGCCTTGAAATGTGGTATATGTTTCATAAACTTAGTTTGAATCTAATCACAAAACCTCAAATTCACTTGACAGGTTGGCGACAGGGGAACACAGCTTTCAGGAGGACAGAAGCAGCGAATTGCGTTAGCTCGCGCCATCCTCAAGGATCCCACCATCCTTCTCTTAGACGAACCCACAAGTGCACTAGACCCTGAATCCGAATCCGCAGTCCAGAAAACCATCGACAAGATCTCACTCGGAAGAACAACAATCGTCATCGCTCACAGACTAGCCACAGTGAAGAATTCCAACACCATTGTCGTCCTCGACCAAGGCTCCGTAGTCGAGATAGGCAATCACCGTCAGCTCATGGACAAAGCCGGCTGCTACTACGACCTCGTCAAGCTTGCCTCCCAAGGAGCCACATCGAAACATGCTGGCCTTGACACGGAGAAGTCGAAGGCTACGTACGAGAAGTCTGGTAGTGATGTCAAGGCCCCGTTTGAGAAATCTAGGTCTATGTCAAGGCCAGAGGATCCTGAAACAACAGCAGCACAGCAAACTCGTAAACCGACGGAGAAGTTTAGACTTTCGGAGGTGTGGGCTCTTCAGAAGCCAGAGGCTTTAGCACTTGCGCTTGGCTTCATTGGAGCTATCCTAGCTGGAGCTATCCTGTCCATATTCCCCTTCCTCCTAGGCCTAGCCCTTCAGGTCTACTTCGACGATGACCCTCCGAAGTTGAAGAAAGACGTTGGGAATCTCGCCTTAGTCATTCTTGGTCTCGGCGTTGGCTGCATTCTCACAATGACAAGCCAACAAGGCCTCTGCGGATTTGCCGGAACTAAACTGACGGTTCGAGTTCGAGAACTCTTGTTCCAGTCCATTCTGAGACAAGAACCGGGTTGGTTCGACTCCGAAGAAAACTCCACAGCAGCACTCATCTCGAAACTATCAATCGATTGCGTCACTTTCCGATCAGCCCTCGGTGACCGATTCTCGGTCCTGTTCATGGGTCTAAGCTCAGCCGCCGTGGGCCTTGGTTTATCATTCTTCCTTCAATGGAAGCTCACTCTAGTGGCAGCAGTTCTAACCCCCTTCACTCTCGGCGCAAGCTACCTGAACTTGATCATTAACGTGGGTCCAAAGCTAGACAATGCAGCCTACACCCGAGCCAGCAACATCGCCTCAGGGGCTGTCTCCAACATCAGGACGGTAACTACGTTTGCATCTCAGGAACGGATAGTTCAGGCATTCGGACAAGCTCTTGCTGAGCCGAAGAAGAAGTCGGAGAAGAAGTCTCAAATCTTGGGAGCCACGCTAGGTTTCTCTCAGGGTGCAATGTACTGTGCGTACACGTTGACACTCTTTTATGGGGCTTACTTGGTCGACAAGGGGGAGTCAAACTTTGGTGACGTGTACAAAATCTTTCTCATCCTTGTTCTGAGCTCATTCTCCGTCGGACAGCTGGCGGGGCTAGCTCCGGATACGTCCATGGCTGCGACAGCAATCCCGGCTGTGTTCAACATCATCTATCGTCGGCCTTCGATAGTAAACCCTCGAAAGGCAAAGAAGGTTGACCGATCCTCGAAGGGGTTGGATATCGAGCTGAAGATGGTGACATTTGCTTATCCTTCAAGGCCCGAGGTTACTGTGCTGAGGGACTTCTCATTGAAGGTTAAAGGTGGTAGCATGGTGGCTTTGGTAGGAGGAAGTGGTTCGGGGAAATCAACGGTCATATGGTTGGTGCAGAGGTTTTATGATCCTAATCAAGGAAAGGTGAAACTGGGAGGGGCGGATTTGAGGGATTTGGATATCAAGTGGTTGAGAAGGCAGACGGCGTTGGTGGGGCAGGAGCCTGCTTTGTTTGCTGGAACAATAAGGGACAACATTGCGTTTGGAGAACCTAATGCTTCCTGGGCTGAGATCGAAGAGGCGGCGAAAGATGCTTATATCCATAAGTTCATCAGCAGTCTTCCTGAAGGCTACGATACTGAGGTATGCTAGGTCGTTCAAATTTCTCTATTGGTTTTGATGCTTCAGTTTTCTTAAAATCCGGTTTACTGTTCAATGTGACATATATAAACGAGTTGCGTGACCGAGTTGGTGTTCTTTAAGCCCATTCCTGGTCGGGTCAAATCACATTGGTCACTAAGCTCTTGGCACGAAATGGTAGTTAACCTGATCGATCTTACACATTGCTTGTTGACATTGTTTTCATGTCTACTCAACAGGTGGGTGAAAGTGGGTTCCAATTATCAGGAGGCCAGAAGCAGAGACTGGCAATTGCAAGGGCTATGCTGAAGAAATCGAGTGTGCTGCTGCTGGACGAAGCCAGCAGCGCGCTGGACTTGGAATCGGAGAAACACGTCCAGCAAGCACTCAGCAATGCCTCCAAACGAGCCACCACCATCGTCGTTGCCCATCGTCTCTCGACGATCAGAGAAGCTAACATGATCGCGGTGGTTCAAGATGGTTCGGTCGTCGAGCATGGCAATCATAACACGCTCCTGAGATCAAACCTCAACGGCGTCTACGCGAGCATGGTTCGTGCTGACGCAGAAGCAAGTGCGTTTGCTTGAGCACTAATATATGTTCTTTGGTGTAGAAGGACAACAATGTATAAATGGTGTTAAGGTTGTATTATTGTAAGCTGTAATCTTTTTGTCAAGTGATGTAGAGAAAATGTTATGAAACGTACTTTTTTCTTCTTCTTCTTGGTGGTTAGGGAGGAAGTATTCAATAAATCTTGAATGGAGTAGAACATGAATATTGAATACATTATGCGGATTTTTGGTACTCTTAAATGCTTCAACTACAAGATTAGTATGAAACACATTTTGTCTCTCCCCAGTTGCTTGAAGGAGAAGATTGGTCCTGAAAACATTGGCCGGAAAGCACCATAGCACCATACAGGTAAAGTGGTACCAACCAAATTGATGGAGTGATCAAGGTTTCTAAAGAGGAGCAAAATCAATAGAAATTAGAAGGTGACTGGGATTCTTGTTGTATTGATTACCGGTACTAAATTTAATCTTCAAAAAGTTATTTATTGAGATTTTTTACTTGTTTTTATTTTATTTTAAGGTGACATATGTTTATTCTTAAGGTTAGGTGCTACTTAAGAGATTAGAATACGAGATCTCCAAATTCAAGACTAGTGGTAGTATAACTAAATCAAACTTTTGTTTGCTAAATTATGACATGGTTGCCTTATCCTTCTTGGATCTTACTCAACGAACTATGACATTCAGGCAAAATGTCATTCCTCTACGTGCAATACACCTAGTCGAGGATCTTACGCCAGTGATAATACCACTAAATCAAACTCTCATCCGCAACAACATGACATGGTTGCTTTATCCTTCTTACATCGGACTCCAGTAGCTACAACATTAGGGCAAAATATCATTCCACTCTGTGCAATACACTAGTCGATCGAGTATCGTACTAGTCGTATTATTAATTCGTCTTCATGACTTAAGTTTTATTTTTCAAAAATTTCAGATTACACATAAATTAGGGTGTGAAAAAGAAAAAGTTTGTATTTGCACATATTTTACCACATTGGCCCACATGTTTTGAACCATCAATAATTGTTTCTTGGCTTAAAAGCCAAGAAACTTGTTTGATGATTACTTGTCTACCATGCAAACCCATCATTTTTCTAACCTTAATTTGGTCTGCCAACTGATTTCCCCAACCAAAAAGGAAACCACTTTTTTGGTCTCTTGCCTTGCCTTGGTACTTACTTGCCTGTCATAATAAAGCCTGCAACAGACACAAATCCTTCTCTTGGCGGAACTTCAAGCCTTTCTCTGTTGTTCATTCTTTGTTGGAAGTCAGGTCTTGTCTGAGGTACACACTGTTTCTTCTCTTGCCAATTGGTCACTAGTAAGATTGTGTTTGTGTTTTTAATTATATCACTTATTATTATTATTTCTCAGCCTGCTGCAAATTCATCTGGTACATCTACTGCTATTCTGTCATGTATTGGACAAACAAAGGCTTTGACCTTGCTTTGTCAATTTTGGTCATATTGAAGGAAGCCAAATGGTTTCCTCCGATTTCCTTGTGGTCTGCATTTCTTGATCTTCAAAAACACTGGGGGTTTGACTCCTTCAGACGGGCATGGTACACAAATCCAAGCATTTGGTCGCCAAAATAGTAGTCAAATGAGGATAACCACATTCTAATAGCGTTTTGATATCAAAAGCTATCGTTTAAGATTTTACTATTTATTATGTGGATTTTTAGTAATTCTTTCCAATTTTAGGGGCATTACTCGCAAGTATCATTTTCATTCTTTTTTCTTACTACTCGTGTTTGCAAATACCATCCACCCTGATTCTAAGCAATAACACTTCTTCTACACTCTTGTTGGTGATTATGCTTTTTGATTCTTGTTTGTTAATTCCCGGTTTCTTTGCCATATGTATTGCGTGTATTTTGATGATACATTTTCCATTTTATTAGTCATTGTGCTTCTTGTTTATTGGTATGATATAATTTAAGTTTTACCATTCATTAAGTGATTTTTATTCATTCTTTCAAACTTTAGAGGAATTGTCCATAAATGCATTTTTTTTATTTTGTCTTTTCTTTTCTTTCTACACACCACTTTACCCTTTTCAAACACCATTCGTTCAAAATCCTAAGTAATTACACTTTTTCTAAACTCTTTTTGGTGATTATCCTTCATTTATTTCCAAATTTCTTTGCCAAATATATTATGTGTATTTTGATCGCGCATATTATGGAGATTAATTTTCCATTTTATTAGTCATTATGTTTCTTGATTATTGGTATATGAAAGTCATAGTTTAGGTTTACTGATTTTTTTTGTAATTCTTACAAAATTTAATGATGTTGATTAAGTAGCTTCATCATGATCTTGTATGCAAATGAACACTCTTTTTTAACCAATCTTAGGCTATATTCTTTTATTGATTTACACGATTGGAAAATTATATTATGTGAGTATCTGTTTTTTCTTTTTTAAACATATTAATTCCTATTTACAAAGACACGAACCTTAATGAAATAAGAATTGAACACCCCAAGCAAAACACTACCTTTCTACGTAGTACTATGTCTACCCATTTCTAATCCTTATATAAATATCTCAGTCCAAATTAGTTACTAATGGGGTACAACAATGCCTTGTAAACACATTGTTAATGTTTCACATGTCAGGTATACCATATTTGATCACTGAGATTACTAAATCGTGTCATGTTTAGTCACTAGAAAAGTTAATATCAATTTTGGTCACTCGAATTACTGAAACTGGTTATATTTAGTCACTCTCTCGTTAATGGAGTTGGACAGGAGTGACTAAATGTGATATGTTTCAGTAATTCGAGTGACTAAATGTGACATGTTTCAATAATTCGAGTGACCGGAGTTGGACAGAAGCTACATGAGAGTGCCAAATGTGACATGTTTCAGTAATTCGAGTGACCAAAATTGATATTAAAATTTTCTAGTGATTAAACATGACACGATTTAATAATCACAGTGACCAAATGTGGCATTTACCCGCTTGACATCTCTCTTTTGTCCTTCATATCGACTAAATCAAATCAATCACAACCTTATAGTTACATATCGTGGATGCATCATGAAAAGTAAAAATCACAACAAATATGGGATCTACGAGTTGAACTGAGTGGAGAAATGCAGATTTTTTAACATACATTGCATGTTGACTCATTGAGGATATACTTACTAAACATGGTCTCATTGGTATTATCAAACACCACTGCAACTAGATATGAATGAACATAAATTGAATATGAAAAACTATAGACCTGACCCTTTAATGGAATCATGTAGTGGTACAGTAAACTAAACACACTTCTGAAAGTTTTGTTGCTGAAACAGGAAGAAGAAGAAGGGGGGAAAACTCCATGAATCAATGGCATCTCTAATACCAGGAGTGCTGCTAAAGCTTCTCCAAAGCATCAACTCGAACGTCAGAGTTCGAGGTGAATATCGATCTGTGCTGTTACAAGTTATCAGCATAGTTCCTGCATTGTGTGGCTCAGAGCTCTGGCCCAATCAAGGCTTCTTCATCAAAGTCTCTGACTCCTCTCATTCAACATATGTTTCTTTCTCAAAGGAAGACAACGAGCTTATCTTGAACAACAAGCTACAGCTCGGACAGTTCTTCTATGTTGATAGAGCAGAGGCAGGAACCCCAGTCCCAATCCTAGTTGGCATTAGACCACTCCCTGGAAGAAATCCATTCGTAGGGAACCCAAAAGATTTGATGCAAATGCTGGATGGCCCTCCACCTGTTGAACATGATAAAGGAGTGAATGTTTCAAAATTGAAGAAAGAGGAGAACACGAGACAGAAAATTGTTATCAAAGAGGAGAGAGCTACTGTTGCTTCCAGGTATATGCAGGGTGTTTCAGCAAAGGGCAAGCAGCATGAAAACAAAGGTCAGGTATTGTATTTCTAGCATAACAGTAACAATTAGAAAATGATTCAGAGCATAAAAATTGGAACACCTGAATTGAGTTCGATAATTCGCAGGAGCGTTGCAGGAAAGACCAACCTCACCATCCCGGAATAGACCTAAAACACTTCCATCAAATCCTGAAGTACTGGCATCCACCGCCACCACCAAAGAGATTTCAGTATCTTCAAACAATAAATCTGCAAGAGGTTCATCAAATAAGCAGCAAAATGCAAGCTTGAATTCATCTTCAAGCAACAAACATGAGTATCTATCGTCTGATGCAATATCATGGGCCTCTCTACCAACTAACTTGCTTAAAACTGGAAAGGTAAGCATCCATCTCTATTTTTCTTTCACTTTGTTCGATCTATTAACTTGACATGTTAGGCATTTCATTTATAGGTAATGCTAAGGAGGAGATATTTAGCTTCTATGGTTGCAGCAGAAGCACAGAAGGAGGCATCAAATGCTTCGAGTCTCGTCAAGTGCCTCAAGTGTGCATCAACTCTATATTTTCCAACAAGTTCATACCGTCTCTATCCCTCATTTTCTAAGACATGTCCTTTCTTTCAGTTTGTTTGCAGAGCTGTGCTCATCTGCTTCACCAGAGAACCCCCATCTTCCCCTCACAAAGTTCTTCACGCTTCAACAGTTCATTGACCAGCCAAATGTAGCCACAACTCCACTGAAGGACAAGTCATTTCAGACTGTTCCTCCCGAAACAGAGAAAACTAGCAAAAGAATCGGTTCCCTTCATGTGAAAGCCACAGGAAAGTCTATAAAGACTGCATCATCCATGGAGTTCAATGCAGCTGAAAAGATTGAATGGGCCAAAGTAGATGCTGCAAAGGACATTAAAGAACTAAGAGAAACCCTTATACATGAAACAAGAACTTGGTTTCTAAGATTCATGGATGGGGCGTTAGATTCTGGATTCCGCATGCCTGTCCAGGAAAAGAAAGGGAAAGGTGGTGTTGCAGGAAGACTAATAATGGAGGCCGAGAACAACCAGATTGCTGTCACATTGTCACAACTCAAACATGCAAATGACTGGTTAGACAAACTAAGGAACAACCTGAACATGGAAACCAATGCTCCATTGATCAAGGATATTGATAGTCTGAAGCAAAAGGTATATGCTTGTCTACTAGCTCATGTAGATTCAGCTGCATCAGCCTTGGAGAACCAAGCAGATCGACGCTGATCCAAACAATCACTGGGGTTCCTGGATATCATATGTTATCAGGAGTCAGTCCAAGGTGATTGAAATAAATTATGTTTTAGTAATTATTGTCGATAATCTGGAAAAAGTGAAAATGAAAATTATAGAGCCAAATACAGTTATGAGAAGTTGGCTAATCCTATTCGTGTGTTTATGCATAACTATATCAATAAAGATCCCATCTCATGTTCGTGTTTATTTATAGAAAATCAGCGAAGGTCCAATCTTTAATCCGAACAATGCAATTTGTTAAAATCCAACGTACTTACAGTGAAAGATGTTCAGACTAGAGGATGCTAAGGTTTACTTCTTACATAGTTAGCAGCTTTTGCCTCAGCTGCATCAAGTTGTGAACTTGGCAGTTGCATGATGGAGATAAAAAGTTAGCATCTCTTCTAAACTTTTGTATTCCATTGGTCTCTGTTACTCGCTCCGATTGACATCTCCATCTTTCATCCCCCAACTACAGAAAGATTCAATTGCATAAATATTTTCAGAAACTAAACGATTGCATGCACTAGTATAACAAAGACATAATTTGACAATATGTTAAAAACATTGCAGATCATCTGGTTCAGTTCGATCCAAAATACAAATAAAACATAAACATTAAAGATATCATACAAAGTTTACAACGAGACTTAACGAGAGGAAGCCGATTCTGAGCTTGGATCCTTGTCGATACAAAAGTCAGACTTGGATTGAACAAATATTCTATGAATGTGAATGAAAAAGGAATCTCGAGATTTCGACATGATCAAAAGATTCATCTCTGCGTCCATAATCTCATAAATTGACTTGTACATCTCCTAATGTAAGGGTTCAGTTGGTCAGAAGGCTTTTTCAACCCTTGAACTGTTACATCCCATATGCAAGAATCATCTACGTAAAAGAGCACTCAATATCTGCTTCTAGGGGCTAAAACAAACTGAACTGTTTCAGCCATATAAAGTGCCATTCCTAAAGACTGAAGTGCAACAAATGGCATAGTGGAAGCATGCACAATCATTGAAAGACATAAAAAACATCTGTCACATAACATATTTATCGACTTTTATGCAGTTTTTAAGTTCAAACTTCAATGATAGAATGCACTCCTCCTTATCTATGTCACACTGAGTTTATTGGAAACTGAAGGAAGACATATATCTAGATGTCTGCAAGTATTTAGTTAGCACTAACCATTGTCGCCATGCTTACTAATTGAGGTTGACCCTTTGAAGGAATACTGCATCATTTCACATATTGCAGATGTCACATGTCAGTAAGACTGTAAGCAGCTTCTTTCCTCAATCCTATATCATTCATCACATCTCTTAATGCTTCTGCATCTTTCCACCGCCCTACTGCAGCATAAAGTTTTGCCAGCAATATGTAATTTCCAGTATTCTCAGGCTCAAGATGAAATAACGATTGTGCAGCCAATTCCCCTAGTTCAACCTTCTGATGTATCACACAAGCTCCAAGGAGTGCACCCCAAACAGCATGGCTAGGTGCACTTGGCATCGTTGTAATAATATCATAGGCTTCTTCTAATCGACCTGCTCGACCAAGCAGATCAATAATACATGTATAGTGATCGACATTCGGACTTCTCCGGGTATCTTCCTGCATCAAGTTGAACAAATAGAGGCCATCATCCACCAATCCCGCATGGCTGCAAGCATGCAATACAGAGGTAAATGTAACTTCATTCGGTTTGACCCCTGAGTCGACCATCTGCCTAAAGAGTGAAACTGCAGTTTCTGCATGTCCATGCATCCCATAACCCGCTATAATTACACTCCATACATATATATCCTTGACTACCATAGGCAATGCATTAAAGATCTGGTGAGCTGATTCCAGGCTACCGCACTTGGAATATATATCTATTAGACAAGTGGCAACTTCAACACGAGAAAGAAACCCCAATCTCGTAATGAAACAATGAACATTTCTCGCGGGCTGTAAATCAGCCAGACCAGCGTATGCAGGTAAGAGGCAGTTCATTGTTGCACCATTCGGTTTCACTCCTTCTGTCAGCATCTCTTTAAACACTCCTATTGCGTCAGCTGGAAGACCATTATGAACACAACCGGAGAGCATAGCATTCCATGGAACTGTTTGTTTTCTTAAACTTCTGCGGAGGACTTCAAAGCTAAGGTTAAGCCGGCTGCATTTCGCATACATGTCAATCAATGACGTTTCTACTTCAACTCTCAAGTCGATATGCTTCCTTAAAGCCCATCCATGGATGCAACGGCCATACATAAAATCCTTCAAACTTGCACAAGAAGAGAGAAGTAAGGCCACCGTCACAAAATTGGGCCTGATTCCTTCAGTTTGCATGACCGAGCAGAAGTTCAATGCAGTTCTCGCCTCACCATTCAGGACATACCCATTAATCATGGTTGTCCAACTTACAATATCCCTCTCAAGCATTTCGTCAAACACCATCCTGGCTTCTTCCATTTTGCCACACTTTGAATACATATCCACTAAAGCATTCAATACTTCCAATTTCCTATCCAACCCTTTCTCCTTCACTAACAAATGTACCAGCTTTCCTACCTCCAACTCCTTCAAATACCCACAAGCTGGCAGTATAGAAACCACAGTGACACCATCTAACTCAACCCGACAACGCATCATTTCATCAAAAATCACCAAAGCAGTGGCAGAACACCCGTTCTTGAAATAACCATTGATCAGAGTATTCCAAGAAACCACACCCTTCTCATCAAACAAATCAAACACCTTCCTAGCAACAGCCTTTTCCCCACAGTTCATATACATTGCCATCAGCGAGTTTTGCACAAATGAATTAGACTTAAACCCAGAAACCACCGTCAAGCCATGAACCAATCTACCGAACCGAAGCAGCGACAGCTCACCACAAGCCTTGACAACAAATGGGTAAGAATAGGCATCAGGCCAGCAGCTTCCTGAGTGACGCATTTCAACAAACACGTAGAGTACCTCATTAAAAGACCCATTCTTTGCGTGCCATTTCATAATGTTATTGTATCTGAGCACGCCTCTTGGCGGAATTCCTTCCACCACATTGGAGAAAGCGCGGGAAGAATGGAGTTGTATGGCTTGTACAATCTGCCGGGTTGGTTTAAAGAGAGCTTGAGATGGGCAACTCATGAAACTCTTTTAACTCGAAGAAAGCTGTTCCAATAAGCAGACACACTTAGGATTTGAAAAGTCAGAATTGGATAAAGAAAAGTGCTTCCATCATTCGAATTCTGGCAGCAGAATTTGAGGAGGGCGCAGTACGGTTACGCCGCCAGGACCGAGCTCCTGTGAGAGTACGAAGAAACCGCAGCTTGGAAGCTCCGGCGTCACGGCTTCGTAGTTCGCTCTAATCGCCGGTGAATTCGGAATTTCACCCTTTCCTTTGTGTCTGTTCGGTTGGGCCTCTGAAGTGTCCTTTTTGTCTTTCTATGCTTCAGTCACCTAGGCCCAAGCCCAATTAGTAGGCATTCTATGAGTTTTATGAATTCGCAAGAGATGACGAACGGAAAAATGGCGGGAAGTCCGATTGATCAGTTGAAGGCCAAAACAATAAAGGACGATCGTCCCTTCAGACTATTCTAAGAAACAAAACCCTAAAAAGATCGAGTCGGGGAATCGTGATCAGTAAGCTCGCTTGTGTAATCTCCCTTCCACCGATCGTCAATCGATCCGATGTCGAAGAAAAAAATTTACCAGGATGATGATGACGATGAATTTCCGTCGTTGCAGTACTACGCCGACAGCCGGTGCAAATGCTGCCGAGAGCTTGACAGCAGGGATATCAAGCCACAGCCCGACGACGACTACTTTATATCGCCCACTGACGATTTCGAGGGCGATGATTTTCTAAAGCTTCACGTCATCCACTACCGGAGGAAGAAGTGGGAGACAGGGGTACGTAACGTAAACTAGTTTTTTCCAATTTGAAATCAATTCTCAATTAGTTCGTTCCTTCATCAATTAATTGAGTATTGTTCTTGTGGATTGATCTACCGAGCAGTGTTTTGATATTGATTGCCCGCCGAATTACGGGGGCATCGGTGGAATAGCTTTCCCTGGAAAGCATCTGTACGGAGACGATATAAAGTCGGACAAGCTGCTTAACGACATGGCTAAACACGTCGTCGATACATATAACAAGGAGAAGGTAAGCTACCGATACAGCTCACGCTTAATAATCCTTACCCACCATTGATTTGAACTGAACTAGCTAGTTAGTTCTCCTGAAATCCCATATGCATGCTGAGCACTTAGCAACTGTTTGTCTCTACCGTAGTCTTACTAGCTTGATGCAACTTCATCATTGTTCTTATCTTTTTAATTCATCGCTGCTGCAATTTGTTCATGTGGAATGCCCATTAGTAGGCCTGAAACAATTAGCCGGAGGATGTTACTGATTCCAAAACTGGTGGGAAATTCATTCGTATGTATGTATAATAGTAGTATTGTGATTGAGTGGTCTTCCTTATTAATTGTTCTTGTTGCAAATGGTATCCTGCAGGGCGGTAAGTTGGTCTTCGTTGGAGTGCGGAACGTATCCGGAGAGGGTTGTAATTGGAGGAACTTCTACATAACTTTTGGTTGCCGCAATGGAAATGGTGTGCGTAAAAAGACTAGGATGCGTGTGAAGACTTATAGAGCCGTCGTTACCTGTCGCATTTGGAGCGACAAAAAGGAGAAGAGAATTTTGGTCTTCAGGGACGCCAGTGGGAAAGGTTCGTTCATACAGATGCCTTATTAATTGATCATTAGCACTCAAGTTCTTCGATTATGTTAGCTAACTTCCCCTGTTCTGCTACCGTTGAGTACGTGTTGTTGTTTATGTTAATGCCTTGCTTGCTTTTTTGAAACAGGATAGTACATACCTGCAGATCGAGATTAGATAAGCAGTCTTATGATCATTGTTTGATGTTGGATAGTAAATGTATAACAATGTGTTCCTCAGTTGAATACTCAAAACTGTGTTGAATTCCTAAAATGGTTGATCGAATGCTTTGGCCAATAGTTGGCTGCGTTATGCTCATGCGTGTTGTTAACATTTGAGTTTCCATCCCTCTTCTCTTCCCGTGGTTTTGGCCCTGACTGTTTTGATTTCCTACTGAATGAACATCCCTATACATAGTGGCTTTAATTGATATCCTGATGCAAATTAGAAGCATGGTCTGAGAAAGCTGAGTAGAGCATACATAGATATGGCATTGTCCTCTCAATTACCTTTGTGTTCCTTATAATCATTTAGTTTCACGTCTAGTTTAGTACTGTAGTACTCAAACATGGTGGGTTCTAGTCTTTTTCTCATAAGCTGTGCAGGTTTTTAAAGATTGGTTGTGTTGTGAGTCGGTCTTAAGAAGGGGTATATCGTTGGTTGACGTGGGTTTTTGTTGAACAACGTCGATCATCATTGTATGTACTAGACCAACGTGTTCTGGTTTCCTGAGTGCTTCGTTGTTGTTGTTGTTGTTGCACTTTCCATGGTTGCCTGAGGATTCTGGAAATGACATTGTTCTTAATTTGTCACCTAATGGTGGACGTTGTCTTTCTCCTTACAGATTTGCTGCCGCCAGATCCCTTCTACGGGCCTCTCACAACGCCTTTCTATCGTCATCCTGCACTAGCTGGTAGCAACGATCTCAAAAAGGAATCCGGAGGAGTGGTAGGTAAGAACTCAGATGCTGAAGGTGGTGTTAAGGAGGATCTCGAGAAGGAATCCGGAGGAGTGGTAGTTGGGAACTCAGATGCTGAAGATGGAGTTGTTTGTCAGTAGGATTTTCAGAGGATAAGTTTAGTATTAGTTTAACTAGGTCTTTTGTGGAACGATGGAGTTGAAACTGAAAATACGACGGAACATGTTCTTGGGCTAGCTGCTTGCTCTAGCGCTGTTAAGGGTTTTAGTTGGTGGGTCACCGTTTGCTAACAAGAAAATGGGATTTTGGTTCAGGATTCAGGAAGCAGGCTCACTGAAAGGCATATCAAAGGCCAGGTTTGTTCCACTTGAAAGAAATTTGTGGCTTATTAGCGCTCACCCGGGTCGCATGGTTCAGTTTGTTGGTAGGAATCAGAATAGGGTGGTCCATTCTGTGAGTTTTCATATTCTAAATTTGTCATCTGGTCCTACATTAGCCTCTTGATCTGATCTAATGACAAAAAAAAAAAAAATCCAAAGCTACCTGATTAGAGTTGGGAATCGGGATGGTGTCGGTATCTCAATATAAAATACCGAATATCAAATAGCGTCCTAAATTCAATGTCAATTCCAATCTCAAAATAAAATTGATTCCCAATTCTTAAAATGTCATTCGGTATCGGTATATACCAAATACTAGGTTAATTTCCTCTATAAAATAAATATAAAAACACAAATACTAGCTCCACAAACCATTCTCAAAATATATAATAACAATGAGTGGTGCTAGCACTCGTCCAAAACAAATGGGAAAAAATCACAACTATAATAATAACACACTAGAAAAATGCGGTGTCTAAGAAACACATTAACAAACTTAAGCTGCAAACTGAAAAAAGGGGTGACTAGCAACCATAAACATACTACAAATAACAAGATGAGCTTGGTATAAGTTGTTAAATAGTGAGAGAATGAGCTATGTATAATCAAGTAGGATCACGAACTTCTTGGTTGACATAGAGCGATTATATCACACGACTGTGCTGGCTTTTGTTGACTGTGGTTAAGATATGGGAGTCAAGTAGTCAAAAACATCTCCTCTGGCTCTTTGCTGTCTAATTGCTGAAATAGCTATTCATTCTCCTGCTCTAGTCAATTGAGACTTTGCGTTCAATAATGTAACTAGCACTGGTAGGATACAGTCAACGAGTATGTGATGCTTTGATCAAAGTTTTGCAGTTTCAAATTGATGAGGTTTCAAGCTGGCTGCATAATTGCCACCCATGTACCAATTTTTTAAGCCGCATCCACCTTCGGTCGATCGTAAAGTTTTATCTTTCAAGGCTTCTTCCAAACGTTGTGCAAGAGAATGTCATTTGACTCTTATCGGCATGCTTAATGAGACAAACTTGGTTAGGTATCACATCCTTTCCGGCTTCCACTTCTTTGTAAGTTGATCAATTGAGTAGAGCATTATTGCTAACTTGATAAGTTTATAATCAGTAGTTATTGCTTTTTTTCTTTGTCAGAGGAACAAAAATGGTGTTGAAAGCTAGGGTTCCAGTTAGCTCAATTATGGGCATGAAAAACTGCCCTCCTTTCTCTACGCCTAATTGCCTAAAGACGCTTCTGTGGTTTTCAGGCATCATCTTGGTTGGCTGGGGGTTAATTCCCTAAATATTGTTTTTTTTTTTTAATTTACCACGAATATAGGGGTCGTTTGGATTGAGTATTTGACAAACTTGTTATTTGGGGTCAATTACCACACAAATACCACATAATATAAAACCTGTTATTTGGTATGTGATATTTGGTCTCAAACTTGTTATTTGGCAAATACCTGCCCCCTCCCAAGAATTTGGCAAACAACAATTTTTGTGTTATTTGGTCTCAAACCTGTTATTTGGCAAAACACTTACATCCAAATAACGCATCCCACTTTTTGTCAGCCAAACATGTTATTTGAGGTCAAATAACACAAAATCTGTTATTTGACACCAAACAACACCCCCAAATACTCAATCCAAACAACCCCATAGTGTTTTTAAAAGTATTTACAACAATATTGTGTTTTGATGGAGGGAAGTTGGCGACGGCGCCCGAGACTCAGCAAATACAGTTTTTAAAGGTAAAGCCAGCGACGGCGCCCCAGTCTCTGGCGTTGGCGCTATTTGAAATTTTTGAAAATTTCAAATAGCGCCAACGCCATAGACTGGGGCGTCGTCGCTGGCTTCCTTTGTTTTTTTAATTCCCCTACTCGCCCTCTCGCACCAGACCAGAAACCCTCCATCCCAACAACCCACCTCCTTCATCCTCCTCCATCCCGACCCCTCCTTCACCCTACTAGCGGCGACGCCAAAAACTCGAGCGGCGACGCCCAGCTTAAGGCGGCAGCGCCTCAGACCCAGGCGGCGGCGCGAGGAAGAAAGCAACATCGCCACTGCAACAGTGGTGACGCGGGATGTCCGACGACGAGCAGCAGGCCCCCGGGGGCAGAGGAAGAGGCCGAGGGCGGCGTGGCGGCAGCGGCGAACGCTACAGGAGTGAGTGCCGGATTCTTGCCGGCGGCCACTTTTTTTTCCGGCGACATTTTTTTTTTATGTTCTAATTTTTTTTCCCCAGTTCCTAGGCTTATCGATCCTTGTTCGATGAGACCACCACCTGCGACGATCGATACTGCTCCGATGGATCCGGAACTTCTTTGGGGGCATGGTCACCATCGGATTGACGCAGTTTGGGCAAATGAGGTAAGTTTTTTTTCAAACTATTTCTATAGTTTTATTAGCTGAATAATATGATAGAATAGAATATAATAGAATTAAATTAAATTACGATTGGAATTAAATTAAATTAGGAATAGAATTAGATTAAGTTACGATTATATTATATTAGAATAAGTTTAGTTTAGATATATAAATATAAATATTATGTGAATTGAAGGAATTGAATTAACATAGTTTTGTGCATTAATTATAGGCTGGTGATCGACCATTCCACATTCGTCATACTGGAAATTTAGTTCGATACAATCCACTGTACCTGTCGTATCTCTTTGATGCCGGCCTGTCTAGTGTTCTGCCACTAGCTCCTCTTACCGGTGATCCGGGTTTGATTACTGCGCTCGTAGAGCGTTGGCGACCCGAGACATCGACATTTCATATGCCGTTCGGTGAGGTGACGATCACCCTAGAGAACGTTGCCACACTCACCGGATTAGCGATCGACGGTGATGTTGTCGTAGTAGACATACCCGACGAGGACTGGTCGGGTATGTGTCTTCGACTGTTAGGACAGGCTCCTACTGATCTTGGTGGCGGCGTCATCCGAATTTCTTGGCTGAGGGAGACTTTCGATGAGCTGCCGCTTTCTGCATCACCCCAGACGACAGGGCAGTTTGCAAGAGCGTATGCGCTGTCTCTGATGGGAGGTGTCTTGTTCTCCGATCGGTCTGGAGGTTCAGTCCACCTGCAGTACCTACTTTTGGTGGAGGATTGGCACAGAGCGGGGAGGTTTGCTTGGGGGAGCAGCTGTGTTATCCTACTTGTACCATGAGATGGGTAGATCGGCGTTGCAGATGAAGGCATCTTCTTCACTGGGTGGTGACTTTGGTGGATGGGCTGCCTTGCTGATGATCTGGACGTGGGAGCGGTTTCCTCATACATCACCACTACATGCGGTGACGGGTGAGCAGATTACTCAGGACGCAGTGCCACGTGGCCTTCGGTGGCTTCCGGCCCACACCCGTCAGCATGGAGATCAGTTCTACTTGTACAAGCTGTGGTTTGACGAGTGCACGACATTCGTGGTTAGTATATATCATTTCGTTTTATAGAATAGTTTTAATTGATTTGTTATAGATTTAGGAGTAATTATGTGACCAATCCTTGTGTGCAGTGGCGTCCGTACTATCATAGAGGTCAGGACTACAGCGGTACTGTGATCCAGTCCCACACGTTTCGAGCAGTTGTTCCGTTGATCTGCTTCTCATCGCAGATGTGGCATCATCCAGATCGCGTGCTCGGACAGTTTGGGATGATTCAGGATCGGCCTCATCCTCCACATTCCGCGGCTGAGATTAGATTTTTTCTTCGTCAGGGACAGCATGGGCCTTCACGTGGACAGCAGTTCATACAGGCAGCCAGCGAGTCGATTGAGCTGTGGGACCGTTGACATGAGTTCGTAGCGCAGACGAGCTACACTGACGAAGAATTAGCTCACCACTCGGAGCATCAAGAGTGGTACAGAGATGTCACTAGACGTTCAGGCACACGGAGAGTTGCTGCACTGAACGCAGCGGTGAGTTTTTTTAGTAATTAAAATTTGTGTTTTAATTGTTTTTAGATGTATAGAATTTCTGATATTTTCCATTTAAATTTGCAGTACGACTGCATAGAGTCCGTTCAGCAGGGTTTACATGATGGGATGAGATCAGGAGGGCTATCATATGACCAGATGGGAGAGTATGTTTACCAGTTGGCGGCAGGGGTTACAACTTTAGGTTTTAGTGGTCGCCAACATCCTGATACAGAGCCGATACAGTGGTACCCCGATGAGCGCAACTTAGCTAGCTGGCCAGAGCGTAGGACTCAGTCATCGGCCTGGGGCGTGCCACCGCCACAGTTCACAGAGGAGCCCAGGAGGAGGAGACAGCGACGTGAGCAGCGTGACGTACCTCGAGGAGTGAGGTACTCAGATCGTCAGCCCGTCAGACCTACATCGACCTTCACATTCCAGCCAGTCAGGCCTACTTTTACCGGATTTCAGGCAGGCACCAGTTCTTCTGGCCCTCAGTTTCAGCCACAGGAGGATAGCTTTCACACACCGCAGCATACTACGATGGGAGGCGGGCACATGGGATCAGGTAGTACAGACCTGCCACATTTGGACGTCGATGAGTGGGAGCGTGTCGGTCTGCAGGTTCAGGATCAGGACTTCCAGACATCTCATTGGGCATATGAGCAGCAGCGACGAGAGGGTGCACCGGATGAGCATGTTCAGTCTCAAGTAGATGATATGTTCGGCACACAGGATCAGGATGATGGGGCGGAGAGAGATGAGCAGTTGCCTCCACGAGACAGGAGGCCAGCGAGGTGTGGTACTGGCGGTCATCTAGTGGCAGAGCACGGTGGTCGGCGTGGTGG